TTTGTGCACCCTACAGTTGCTAGAGTTAATTGTTTAACAAAAGTATGGTTGACCACCAACACACCATGTTTGTACAGGGATGACCTTAGGTCACTGATATGCAGAGGATGATGGGCATAGCATGACCAATGACAAAGGACAGATGTCAGAACCAAGATCCTTAACTCACAGATGTGTTGATTTCATTGTGCACAGGTTGCTAGGACAAGTGCGATCAAGTGATGTTAATGAGCTGAAAGGAAAGACGACTCCAAGCACAAGAACACACATGAAAGAACGAGGAAGGAGTTTGGCGGTGTGTATCCAGGGCAGTTTGGGGAGCTTAATCTGGCGCAATAACTCAGCTCCTTTTGTCAAAGGCCACATGAAACAAAACACTTTGCTCATATGGGCCTGATTCTGCAACTTCTAATTATGCAGAATAGTTCTTACTTGTGCAAGTAGGTCTTACTTATGTGAGACTAGTCAACATGAATAAGGAGTGCAGAATCAGACCCTCTATTCTGACTTTCTCCTTATATCAGCACCATAGAACTGACTTATATTCTTCATCTATGGAAGCTAAGTCTCCTCAATGGGATGAATCCATGAAAGACATAACTGGGGAGAAAGGCTTCACTTTAAATATTTGACAGACTACATTTCCTTCTTTTTCATTATCTATTTTCAAAATGTAACAAATAGCTCCAATGATAATTCCTGATTGTTTTATATTTACTGAAAAACAGCACTTAATAAATACAGATATATCTAAGTGGGTTTTCTATAAGAAGTGTAACCAAAAAGCGTCCTCAAAGCTATGCATTAAAAGTCTAAAAGGTATCTAAGAACTGAATAACTCTGGGTTTTAGAAATGGTATATAGAGTTTTGCATTCATTATGTCACTGGTTCACATATGGCCTGGGTCAGTAGTGATTTCAACTTATCATTGAATTGCTATCCAGTGACCTGTATGAAACGAGTTGGTGGCTTCAGTCCAGTTACCAGTGGACAGGTGGCCACATCACAAAAATTACCAACACATTTAGCAGTGATTGGCCCTGTTGCTGGAAGTCTCATCTGAAAAGTAAGGATTTAATGGACCATGGATGGCTCATAAACTAATTAAAGGGATACTACCCAATTAATATACACCCCAATATCACATCAGCTGGTTCCCCTGCACTCATGAGCTTTCCTTTCATTTTGATCTGTTCTATCAGCTTTTCTTGGGATCCTTACCTGGAATGGATTTGAAATATATTTTGAATTACCAGTGTAGCCTTTTGGTATGTCCAGCTTTCGGAATCTTTGCTTTATTTCTTTGTTACTTGTCTGATCTTGTTTTGTTTTTTATACCTTAATTAGGCTTGTATATCACTCCATATTTCACATGCCCACAAAGCAGCTGTGTGAAATACACCCTGGGCTTTCAGAATCCCCACCTGTAAACCAAGTTTAGTCATTACAAATCAAAATGAAAGGGAGAAATAAAACCTTTGGAAGGAGAGAAATTCAACTTCTAAATAACCATGAAATTTCTCTTTATACATTAATGACTGCTTCCAAGAGGGCCAATAAAGTCTTTTGTCAGCAGCCCAAAAGCGCCAAGATCTTTGATGTGTATTTGTGTAGGTCATGTATTTAAAGGGGACACCCAGAAAATCTGTGCTGGCAAAATTCTTCCTTACAGACTTTGCAAGAATAAAATTGAAATCTGTGGTCCTGTTTTATCTTTGGTGTCACCCAATGAAGTGAATTGAATTACATCGGGGATGAATTTGGCCCATTTTGTTTTAGGTTTAGGAAGGATCTAAGCTCAGGGTGTTCAAAGTGAACTCAGCAACAAGCTAATCTCTGGTTTATCATTGACAATCCTCTGACCTTACTAGTCCTGACTGAACTCAGGAGAAAGGCTTGATATAAATAGAAAGATATAGGATTAAAAGCTTCCAGCTACCTTTCTTAGTCAAAGCTTCATGCAAGGTGAGCCCCTAAATCTGTGTTGTTTTGTTTTTTAATGGACAAGGTTTAGATAGTTTACTTTCTGTGTAATATGTCCTCTTCCAATAAACTAAAATCTTCCAAATGATTCCTAAAGAGGAGCTGTAAGATCCTGAACGTGCAGAGATGCTTAGAAAAGGGTAAAAGTGGCCCCTGGTTCTTGGCCAGATCTGCTCCCTGTCTGTTATTCATGTCATATATGGGTCACACTTTATAGTATGATTCCATTTATAAATGGTTTACAAAGGGTTAATAAATGATTAATAGATGTTATAAGCACATTGCAAACATGAGTGGTATGTTTTATACATGGTTATAAGCACATCAATAAAGGTATTAGAGATTGTTTTAAACCATGGTTATTAGTAACGTATTGATATGTTGAACACTCTAATAATGGATTAATGATTTATTAAAACATCTATGAACCATTTATTAACTCTTTTTTTAACAGATCCTTAATATAAAATATGACCCCGATATGCTTAGTGTACTAATAAGAAGATTTTATTGTCTTCAGCACTCCAGAGCCAGTATACCATTGCTGCCAAAGAACAAGATGAATTCTGGTCTCCTTCCTGCAACATCAGCCAAAGTGGTAGCTGAATTCTTATTACAGAATCATTATTGTTGGTTCCACTTGATGATGATGTTCGAAGCCAAAGGAGCCCAGACTGATTTTCAGAGACCAGGCAACACTTTAAGTTATGGCCACTAGTAAGATTTGTTGTTGACTTGTCAAGTAATTGAATTTGATCCAGTGGGTCCTTGACAGGAAATAAACAATGGAGCACAAAGTTGCCGTTGCTTTTGCCATCACTTTTTGTGGCCATAACTATATGTATTATTCATTCATTCATCTGAATTAATTGATTGTAGAAGGTGCTGCTTTGAAAGCCCTGTAGACTGAAGTCCTCTATTAATTCACAGAAGAGGTTTAACCCTGTGCAAACTTCCCCACACGGCCCTGCTAATGGGCCGCAACCTACAAGGACCACTCCAAGGGATAGAAGGGACTTCAGTCTCCATTGCCATTCATTCCTTGAACTTTCTACTGAGGCTGCCAACTAAGATATGAATTAGTGACAGATACTGTGGAAATTTTTGTGATGTGGACACCTGTTCACTAAGAACTGAACTGAACTTGGTTTCACACAGGTCCCCAATTGCTTTCCAACCTCAAATGTTGACCTAAGGGTAAAAACAGGTTTTCTCTTGTAAAATGTTTGTAAGATTTTTTTTTTCTTCACGAAACTCCAAACCTATTGAACTTGACAAAGTGAACCTTGCAGCAAAGGAAAGGCAGCCAAATGGTCTAGTGGAAGGAACATGGGTTCTAGTCCTGGTTCTGCTGTCTGATCTTGGGTAAGCCTCTGTGCCTATTTCCCATCCTACTTTGTCTTGTAAGCATTTTGGGACTCGTTCTGTGTACGTACAGTGCCTACCACAATGGGGCCTCTAGGTGATACTGTAATTTAAATAATAATGAGAAGGGGATAGAGAGGGGAGAGGTGCCTGTTATAACACACATCTACTTCATGTGGGTGGTTTATTCTTTCCAAAGCAATAAACGTTCCGAGATTCCCTTACTTTCCCAGATGATACTGAGGCCCATCTTTACTGTCCCTTTTCTGTATTGCATGGAGGGACTCCAACAAACCCATTTATGGGTGAATTACTTTCCCGTCACTGCAAGCTCAATAAGAAAATTGGGTGTACCCCAGTGATGTATTCCTGTACATTTCAACAGCCGGACAGCTACTGCTGCATTCTACAACCCAAGCCAAGGGGAGTGAGAATAGACAGCATGAATGTGAGACATAACAAACCAGTTTTGACAGTGTTGTTGTTGCCCTGTTGGTCCCAGGACATGAGAGAGAGACAAGGTGGGTGAGGTAGTATTGTTTATCAGACCAATTTTTGCTGGTAAAAGAGACACACTTTTGAGCTACACAGAGCTTGTCTTTAAGTCTGGGAAAGGTAATCAGAGTGTCACAAGGTGGAACAGGTCCTTAAGTGATTGTTAACTGCCCATTTCATTTGGCATGGTCTCTTGCAACATGTGTTAACTTCATATGCTTAACAATCTGTTCCACCTTGTAATTAGTCATAACACTGATTATCTTTCCCAAACCGGAAGAGGAGCTCTCTAGCTCTATGTAGCTTGAAAGCTTGTCGCTTTCACCAACAGAAGTTGGTCCAGTAAAAGATATTGCCTCAGGCAACGAGGACACCATGGTGCCGTGTGACAGTCCCAAGTGCAGGAAGCCTCTGCTTTCCTGACTCTGCACAGCCATCCTCTCCAGGAGCACCCTTACCTTCTCTGGGGTGAAGAACTGTGCAGTTTAGAGGAAACAATGAAGACCCCTGCTCTGCTTTCCCAGCAAACAGTGGGCCAGGTCCCCAGCTGGGGTAAAGTGCCCTACCTCCCTGACGTCAATGGGCCTGCACCCACCCTCTGAGGCTCTGGCCCATGTTTCAGGACCAAGATACCCTTGTCCTATGCCCACCACGCCTTCCCCAGACACTGTGTGAGCTCTCAGGCTGCCCCCTGCCCTACTATCCCTGCTCACTTGACAAAAGCATTTTCTGGACCTTCCAGGCCCTGGTGCAGAGACTCTGGGCCAGATTCCACGGCTGGAGGACGAGGAGGACAATGGGCAGAGACCTCGCTGCCGCTGGTCGCGCTCTGCCCGCTGCATGCTCCGTGCTCCGGGGCGGATCAGACCCCTCCGCTGCAGAGAGTCAGCGGCGGGGGTGGTAACGGGGGAAAGTGGCGGCCCGGTAGCCGCCTTAGGGGACGAATCTCTTTGGTGATTGGGCGTCATTGTTCCCTTTGTGACTGGGGCTGTATAAATCACCGGCCCTGCAGGGAGCCCACGACACTCGCCCAGCCCACGCGGGGGACGGGGAGGCAGGGAAGTTTGTCTCCGACCCAGGGCACTCGGCCCCTTCTGGTCGCGCTGGGCAGTGGGGCTGCTGGGGGGACGCAGGTGGCAGCCCCTCTGGCTGCTCCATGGGTTCCGACGTGGCCTCCCCCTCCAGCAGAGCCTCGTCCCCAGAGCTGGAGGAAGCGGGCAGCCCCGAGCTCCTGTGTGAAGCCTTCCCAGCGGCTCGCCAGCAGGGGCCCGGGGCGCCCAGCCCCAGCGGCGGGGCCGGGGCCGGGGGGAAGCTGCGGGGCAGCAGGACGGAGCAGTCGGACGACCAGCGGCGGAAGGTGAACAGCCGCGAGCGCCGGCGGATGCACCACCTGAACCAGGCGCTGGACGGCCTGCGGGAAGTGATGCCCTACTCGCAGGGGCCGGCGGTGCGCAAGCTCTCCAAGATCGCCACCTTGCTGCTGGCCCGCAACTACATCCTCACGCTGAGCAGCTCCCTGCAGGAGATGCGGCGGCTGCTGAGCGAGCTCCACGCAGCGCCCCGCAGCCACCCGCTCCCCCAGGTCCGCCCCATGCCCCCCGCCGCCGGGGCGCAGAGCCTGCCCCCCTGGCCCTCCGCCTGCTCCGTGGCGGCCGCGGCTGGGTACCTGGGCTTCCGAGCGGCTCCGCAAGAGACTCACCGCACGGCAGCGGGGCCCCTGGGCCCCTTTTACAGACGCTACTCCGGCTTGCCCTGCCTCTGCTCCTTATGCCAGGCCGGGCCCCAGGAGCTGCCAAGAACGGCAGCCGCCCCGTCCTGCCTCCGGGCAAGCAAGTGAAGCCAGAGACTTCCCCTGGCCACACAGGAGACCCAACGCAAACAGCTCTGCGGGACTGCTACTGCTCTGACAAGGAGAGGGGGGCCTAGCGCTGTCCTTCCATTTCCAAACCGCGCCCGTCTCCTCCTGATCATGGAACTGACACTTAGCCCCACAAGACTCCCTGACATGCCCTGTAGCCAAACCTCCTTGTTCGTTTGTCATCGGTTGTTTGAGCCCAGTGTCTCCCTCCCGCTGCTCTGCCGGCAGCAGGAATCCTAGGACAGTTCCCAAGGCTGGTGAGACAAGAGTTTGATTCAGGTGCCATTCCGTTGTGACCTGTAGCTTTGCCTTTCTCGAGTAGCTGATGTGATGCAACGTACCTGGAATTTCATTTTTACTGAAAATAAACATAGGTCACCTTAGTCAATGGATTTGGCATACCGGTCTCCTATTTTGAAAGTTCCTTAGTTTCATTTGGGCTGGGAGGAAATGTTTCATTGAGAGAGAGAAGAATGGGGCGGATAGGCTGGGATAAGAGAGAAAAAGAGCTGAACGGTTTGGAAGAAAGTAAAACCAATTAGCCCAAAGTTTCCCATAGAGAAGCCTTGGGAATTTATATTAGATTTAATTTAAACAGTCCTGAAGGTTCTACTAAATGCTTTAACTCCATGATTGCTTATGATAGCTGTTAAAATAAACCTAAAATCAAACACAGGGCAAATGAATCTGACAGATATCCAAGCACCTCCCGATCCCACTTTAGCTAATCTTGAAGAATTACTACTTGTTGATAATGTTTTAGTGTTTATATTTCATTGTAAATATGCCATGCAAAGAACAGATTCCCTGCCAAGAAGAGTTTCCATTCTAAGGTGCATTATTTCAAGCACTCAGACAAAACTCAAATTATTTCAGTGTTAGGGAACGTCACAAAAAACGGGGGAGCTACAGTTTGGTGTTCTTTGGCTCAGAGTTACACGGAGAAATGTAGACTTTCTTGAGTATTAAGGGATTTTCCACAGTCTTTCAAACTCTTCTTGTTTCCTGATGTTTATCTTTCAGGTCAAGTCCTTTGAAGTGCTAGCACTGTATACATGTGTCCCATGCATGCGGAGTTCTGTAATCCAGGGAGCAAGTAATTGCTGTGTCATAGACAATTGTCATAAGACAATTGCTGTGTCTTAACATTTAGGGCTGGGTACAAGGGTATGGGCCTGGGGCAGTAAGTATTTTGGAGCTCAGACTTAGTATATGAACTCTTATGGGGTCAGGACAGGTGGTCAGATGCCTCACTGATGGGCATATAGTACCTAGATCAGGGGTTCTCAAACTGGGGGTCAGAACCCCTCAGGGAGTCACGAGGTCATTACATGGGGGGGTCGCGAGCTGTCAACCTCCACCCCAAACCCCGCTTGCCTCCAGCATTTATAATGGTGTTAAATATATTGAAAAGGGTGTTTAATTTATTAGGGGGGGGTCGTCACACTCAGAGGCTTGCGATGTGAAAGGGGTCACCAGTAAAAAAGTTTGAGACCCACTGACCTAGATAGACAGACTCCATGATGTGATGATTTATGCCTTCTGGCTACAGGTATTTAAATAGTAAATATTTGTTTAATTTTCAATAACTTTGGTGGGCAGAAGTACTGATCTACTTCGACTTTTACAATACACCTGACATGTTCAGAAGAAGATTTCAGATCAGGATTGCAGCTAGCAACCATGTTAGAAACATATTAGGACCTAGTCAACATGTAAGACTTATACCAGTGTAGCCATAATGGTTAGGAGTGTGATTTTTTTTAACAATAAAGCTGTGCCAGGATAGTGTAGATGCTATGGTGACCAGACAGCAAGTGTGAAAAATCGGGACGGGGTGGGGGGGTAATAGAAGCCTATATAAGAACAAGACCCAAAAATCAGGACTTTTCCTATAAAATCGGGACATCTGGTCATCCTAGTAGATGCCCTTATACCAGCATAAAAGTCCTTTTGGCAGAATAGCTTATGTCTCTTGGGCAACTGGTATAAACTATGCCGGCAGAAGCATATGCCGGTATAAACGGTGTCTATACTACGTGGGGTTGCCAGTACAGCTATACCGATATAGCTATACCAGCAAACTTTTCTAGGATTGCTAAGGCCGCCAAATCCACAGCCCAAACTCAGGGCACTGTAACCAAGGGAATTTTAGGAGTGGCATAAATCTGAAGCACTTTCCATTAAACACAGATACTCAGCTACAGGTCTGGAGAGGTTTCCCGTTTCTGTGAGGCGCTGTAGAATTACGGCTCTCCTATCAATCAAAGGGGTCAATATAAGATGCCTCCTGAAAATGCATTTAAGCTTCTTAGGAATCGGAGAAGAAAGGGTTAAATAATTTAAAAAAAACCTGTCAACTAAATACCTTCCTTCACACGATAACTATTTTCTTTATAAAAATGGCTTTGCAGTCTAATTACATGCTGCTGAAAAGGCCCTTGGAACTGCCTGACAGAGTATCTCATTGAGATATGCTCAGCTTCACTTTGGGACCCTCTAATCATCTCCTGAAATGCTCACAAAACACCCTGATGATTCAATTCTAACTACTATACATGCATCATATAATCATCTGTTATATTTCTGTAGCATCTTTCATCCTGAAGACTCCCAAACCACTTTACAAAAATATATAAACTATACATACATTGCACCCACCTCTGAAATTCAGCCATCTCTGGGGTAGAACAAGCAAGGTGTTTAACACTGAACAGGAGCGCTACATGACAGATTAGCAGGAAGTGCAGGAGATAGTCATGTGAAGTTACAGGGGGATTCAGGGAAGCAGACAGTAATTGCTTGATCTGGAATTTGACCAGGGTACTGGGATTAAACACTCCTACTCTTGCAGAAACGGGATTACAGGATAGCAGTTTTACATCTCATCTGTAAAGACATTCCTCCAGCAGGGCCCTTGATGCTGTTCTGGGCCATTGGTTTAATACTTACTCAAAGGAAACAATGCTTCATGTTGAATCACTAGCACCAAATCCTGCAAAACTAGATAGTTCTCACTATTACATACTACTATAATAAACATCAGAATACTATTTACTTAGGCCAACCCAGCATTGCATGAGATATAAAAGTATCATAACATAAGATGGCCATAAGGCCTTTTCCCACTTACTGTCTCCCGTTCATATATCACCGAAGAGAGAGTGATTTTAAAATACTGCTGCATTCAACGCTAATGATCCAAATCACCACACTTTACACTAGTGTTTTGGGCCACTACTGTACAACACTGCAGTACTGTTGTTGCGGGAGGGGTCTCCATGGAGTACAGAGAAGGGAGAAGTCTGGTGAAATTAAGGCAGAATTTGAACACTGTGGGGGCATTTCTGATTTAACACATTTTTGGAAATGAGTAGGTGTCGGGGTAGGAGTGGGCTAGGAGGAATTATACTGGTGTTCAAATCACTCCTGGCAAATATATACAATATTATGTAAATCTTTGTTTTGCAGCCATTTCCAATGCCCTTAGAGTCCATAATAGTTCTCCCACTCAAATGCTAATAGCCAAGGGGGTGTCTTAACATATCCTTTAGAACAGGTTTGATGGGTTTTCTCTGACTTTCATCGTGGTGTCCAGCTATTCTCCACTTTACTCTGGCTTCCCTACCCCACCATTATCCCTGGTGCTTAGTTTGTCTGATCCATGAGGATATGAGTGTCTTCCTTAGAAGCCCAAACAGATGCCACACACTGCATCTGAGAAGGAGTAATGTGGGATGACCTCTGTGGCTAGACTCCTTCTCCTCTAGATAGCACAGTCCTATGATATTGTCACCAGATTCCAATTTGTTGGGTGGAGCACAAGTTTCTGGGGAGAAGGCCACAGAAGTCTGGGGAGAAGGCCAAATGCTGTCATCTCATCTAGGTTTCTCAATGGGATTTTTCATAACTCAACCAATAAAATATGTAGTTTAAAAAACAAACAACTGTATTTGCTCCTGCTGTGTCATGGAGAAAAATACAATAGTCAAAGGTAACTAGGGGAAAGCCTCCACAGATTTATTTCCTTATTTTTAATATACTGAAGATGATAGGTGCTGAGCTGTCAGCTACAACATACGCAGCAACTGAGCAGGCTTCCTTCATGTGGTTCTTCATACTGTCCCACTAATGTGCTTTCATTCTGCAATGGAAGGATTGCCAATAGAGGTGAAATGGTATTTTTCTTCATGGCCCATTCAATTCTTGTCCCTGAGAATGACAACAAGGGTTCTCATTTGGGGGAGTGGTAACTAATGAAGAGGACAGATCGCTGATTCAGAGCAATCTGGATCAGTTGATAAACAGGGCGCAAGCAATGTATGTTTTAATAAGGTTAAATATAAAGGTATACATCTAGGAACAAAGAATGTAGGCCATAGTTACACAGTGCGGGACTCTATCCTGGGAAGCAGTAATTCTGAAAATGATTTGGGGGGAGGGAAATCATGGTGAACATGAGATCTCAGTGTGATGCTGTGGCCAAATGGGTTAATGATATCCTTGGATGCATAAACAGGAATCTCAAGTAGGAATAGAGAGGTTATTTTACTTGTGTGTTTGGCACCGGTGCAACTGTTGCAGAAATATTACGTCAAGCAGTTCTAGTGTCCACAAGTCAAGAAGGATGATGATAAATTGGTTCAGAGAGAAGGTTAAGAGTGACTTGATCACAGTCTATAAATACTTACATGGGGAACAAGTTTGTGATAATGGGCTCTTCAATCTAGTAGAAAAAAAGGTATAATAGCTGGAAGTTGAAGTTAGATAAATTCAGATTGGAAATAAGACATACATTTTTAACAGTGAGGGTAATTAACCATTGGAACAATTTACCAAGGGTCGTGATGGATTCTCCATCACTGGCAATTTTTAAATCAAGACTGGATGTTTTTCTAAAAGACCTGCTCTAGGAATTATTTTGGGACTGTTCTATGGTTGTGTTATACAGGAGGTCAGACTAGATGATCAGAATGGTC